CTCCTCTGTCCGTGGAATTTCCCAGGCAAGAATACTGGAGTGGGTTGCCATGCCCTCCTCCAGGGGATCTTCCTGACCCAGGGATCAAACCCCAGCCTCCTGCATTGCAGGCAGATTCTTTACCATCTGAGTCACCAGGGAAGCCCTTACTTTGAGGAGCTTACCTTCAGGAGCTATTAACTCAACATTCCGCTTAACATAAAAGGGGAAGAAGTCGGGAAGTGCTGGCATCGCCCTGCAGCTCTGGGAGCCGTTGCATTCCTTCTCCTCCCGGACTTAGCTGTTCCTCTCTGTAGCCAGCAGAGGGCACTGTGACTACATAGTTGGGGGGTGGGGAGGAGAATTTTCAGAGATATAAAGATTGCTTGGATCCAGAAAGAAATGTGCACTATTTTCCATGAAATTTTAGTGGGGAAAATAGATGATTATTTAAGAACATATGGATGTCCATTTGATTAATAACCCATCCAAACAGAAAAGGAAAGTGAAGATGTTTCATAACTGTCTTTGTTACCAAGGATTGAAATAGCAAGAACAAAATAGCTATGTGATAATGAATATCAGCAGGATGTCCCTAAATTATTTAGGACACAACTAGTTAGAACTTTTTCTCCTAGGAATGTTTGTGCTGAGACCTAGTAACAGGGAAGAATAGGTCTGATTTATCCTAAACACCTGCTTTTCTGTTCATTGCAAACATAAACCCTTTCATTAATATCAGGACAGTTAAACACAACTCCATTTCACCAAAGAAATCTGTCATTGGAGGCCCTCCATGATTTTCCTCAACAGACTTCCAATTTTGTGTTTTGACTATCCACTTGTCCCAGGTGGCTCAGTGGTAAAGAATCTGCCTGAAATGCAGGAGGTTTGATCCCCGGGTTGGGATGATCTCCTGGAGGAGGAAATGGCAACCCACTCCAGTATTCTTGCCTGGAAAATCCCATGGACAGAGGAGCCTGGCGGTCTACAGTCCATGGGGTCACAAAGAGCTGAACACACTTAGCAACTACACAGCAGCAACATCCACTTGAGCCGCCCCATGTTTCAGCCTCATCTAACTGAATCTCCATACTTCCCTAGCCGTTCCTTTAGCCCTCACCTCCCACTCACTCGCCCCTTCCATAAACACTGGAAATCCTGCCCATTCTTCAAAGTCCAACTCAAATGCTGACCCTCTGTGAGTGTTGCAAGTAGCTCTTACTCTCTCTACTGTAAGCATTTGTGCAATAAAATGAGGATCTCCTCTTCTGTTCCAGATACTTCTGTTCACAAATGATGAATACATAGGGAAACGTCACTACAGGGAAATGTTTGTGCTGCAACCAGAGTAAGCGTGGGAGGGAGGCTCTGAGAGCTTTGATCAATGCTTCCCAGTCAGTGAGTGCTTCTTAGATAGGTGGAGGGAGCAGGGAAAGCCTCCTGTTAGAGGTGATACTTGAGCTAGTGTTAAAGCTTAAGGAAATCTGGATGACTGAAATAGCCCCTTAACTGGCTGACTTGTAGATTACAGAGGATGAAGGGAAGAGGTAGTGAAAGATAAGATGGGGAAAGTAGGCTGGCGCCATTGTACAGAGGAAGTTGAGCTTTGTTCAATAAGCCATGGGGACGTCTTTCATGGGAGTGATTTAAAGTGGAGGAAGTACTGGATCAGATCCCATATTTAGAAAGGTTGCTCCGGAGGCAGTGTGGTCCATAGGGTTGAATGGCAGACAGATTTAGAAATTTATATCACTCTTCAGATGAGGAATGAGAAGGGCCTGGACCACAGTAGATAAAGTAGGAATGGACATGGGAATTCCCTGGAGGCCTAGTGGTTAGGACTCAGCACTTCCACTGCAGTGACCGGGGTCCAATCCCTGGTCAGGTAAGTAAGATCCCACATGGCCAAGAAAATAAAAGAAATGTACACAAAGGGGCAGATTAGGCCCCCATAATCCATAATACATTGTTTGCAACTCTTATATGAGGCGTTCTACCTTTATAGTGGTTCTATTTATCTTCCCTAGCAGACTAAGTTCCTTGCGATCAAGATTTTTTAACTCATTTCTTTATTCCTCAGGTCACATGGCCTTGTCCATGATAAGCACTTTTGTCAGCATAAGTTGATTGAAGAGAATGAATGAATAGCTGAAATTTCTGATCATGAGGATCTACTTTTGAAGTGCTATATTATCACCCTTTGGTCTCAGAAGTCAGTTGAATGACATCAACATATTAGTAAATGCATTGTGGGTAGTTTATAAATTTTGAAAAAAAATAAGATTTCTCATGGAAGCCTCACCATTGGTTATCATTTATGAGTATTACACTTTAAAATGTTAAATGATTTTGATGGTCTGCACTTTTTGAGCTAACCACTTGCATGTATGTGTATGTTTTAAGATTTTTGAAGGAGAATTTGTTTGTTTGTTTTTTTTGAAGGCGATTTTGAAGGATATTAGTTCTGCACAATTTTTGCAAAAGCAAACCCCTTGTAACCAAATGTCCTTTCATAACAGAAGCTGCAATGAACTCAGTCTTATTGTCCATACAAATCCTCAAAGGATGTGATGTTTTATAAAATTCTTTGTTCTTGGTGAAATTGCTAACAGGAAAAAACATCCTGAGATCCTTCTGCCCTTTTGGGCACTTGAACAGGGTGAGCCCCAGCTCATAACTACAAAGCTCAACCAGTCAGGCTCTATTTCTCCTCACAGAGGATGCCAGGCATTCTCAGATTCACAAGGACTAGAAGCATGATGTTACACTCTCTAGCTAAATGTACTTTGGAAAAATACCTTGCTAAGAATTGCACTTGGTTATTCTATTATTTATTCTCATCCTAATGAAAGGTTGTTGCTAAGCCATGAAAGATGCCGGGATTCTTGACCTCCAGAGGAGAGGAATTCAACCTGGGGCCAGTGACAAGGCTTGATCCCTCAGAGCTTTTGTGTAATAAAGTTTTATTAAAGTATAAAAGAGATAGAGAAAGCTTCTAACATAGACATCAGAAGGGGACAGAAAGAGTGCCCCTTTGCTACTTGCTATTCTTTAGCAGAAAGTTATATACCTACTAGCAGGCTGCTAATTAGAGAAAGGAAATGTCTCAAAACTCAGAGAGTGGCACCAGGCCCCTCACCCACAACATGCATTTTGAGATAACATTGGCACAGGGTGAGTCATCCTGGGCTATAAGAGGATTGACTTGAATCTTGAAGAAAGGCAGGTTTCAAGCAAATACATAGTATCATTAACATAGCTTAAGAGAATATTTGCATGAGGAAAACATACTGGTTTGTCAAGTTGGTTCTGTCTTAGTCAAAACTGACTTGCTTTATATAAAGTAATAGGAACGGGCTGAAGAATTTATGCCTAATGATAATTTTCATATGGCAGCTCACAGGATTTAAGCACAAGTATCATGACGTAACCAAGAGGCAGTGACAGTTTGTTAAAGTTCTATAGTATAAGTTAATTCTAGGTTTCTTACCTCATAAAAATGGACAGTGGTGTTTAAATTCCAAGACAATTGTTGTTGCATTAAAATAAGTATGTTTTGAAACTTAAAAAAAAAAAACGACTTGAAGAAAGAGTCTAAGGTAAATACACAGTTCATTAACATAGCTTAAGAAAAACTTTTCCATAAGAAAAATGCATCGTTTAGCTCAAGGTATGAGAAAAGTTAAGTTCAGGTGGAACCAGGTGTCCTCATGGCAACAGAGAATTTAAAAGAAACTTCCTTTTAATTTTGTATAGAGAAGGGAAAACAATCTGACACTTGTAGTTTGTTTCCTCTTGCCGCGTAAGAGAGAGATTAAAAAACGTCTGACACTTGAAGTCTATTTCCTCTGTTTGGGGGCCCCTAGCCTTCCTGACTGTTACCCTCTCACTAAAAGCTTCAAGTCTGTACAGCTTGCAGAACTGAAAGCTAATGTGGGACGTTTACTTCAGAGTCTTTATTCTTCACATTAACTTGGCTCCAGAATCTGGCAAAAATGACATATCCTTAGAAAAGTCAGAGAACACAGGATTAAACTCTGACCCAAAGTGAATTTTATGGGTAGAAGTATAGCTATCATTGGAAAGTTGGTTGAATGAAGTTTTACCCAGTGATTTAGTTAAATATAGAGTCATGTCATTCTCCCTACCTGGAGTTTCAGTTTTTAATGCTCTTATTTGCATGCATAAAATGTATTTTGTGTGTTTTTTGTTTTATATGTTTTTTTTATCTTCTTAGGGGAAGGTTTTTAAAAGCAAAGCGTGAAACATTTGACTACATAAATATTTGAAATGTCTTTATGGCAAAAGACAAAATAAATGACAGGCTTGGAGAAAATGTTTACAATATAGAATTTAAAATAAGAGTTCCTTAATATGCTAATGGATTTCCAGGTGGCTCAGTGGTAAAGAATAAGATGCAGGAGATCCTTGGGTCTGGAAAATCCCCTGGAGAAGGAAATGACAACCTGCTCCAGTATTCTTGCCTGGAGAATTCCATGGACAAAGGAGCCTGGTGGGCTACATTCCTTGGGGTCACAAAGAGTGGGATGCGACTGAGCAACTGAGCGTGCGTGCGCGCGCGCGCGCGCGCACACACACACACACACACACACACACAAAATATGCTAATAGTGCCTACAAATCATTAAGAAAAACATTAAAAAGTGGGCAGAGGATATGAACAGACAATTTAAAGATGAAATAGAAATGGCTTACCATATGGAAAGATGATAAAAGAAATGAAAATTAAAAATGAGATACTTTGTGATTCACCTTCTGCTTGGCACAGATTGCAGACGCGGATAGTATTTTATTTCGGTGAACATATGGGGGAAAAGAACTCTTATCCACTCTTAGTGAGCATGAAAATTGGTCTAACTTTTGTAAGGGCAATTCGGCAGATAGGATTATTATTATTATTCCACATTTCTGTTCTCCTCACTAGCTTCTAAGCTACTTGTGCAGACTGCTTCTGTTCCTGTCTTCATTTCCCATTTTTGTGTCTTGTTTTTTCCTAGGTGGTGATACTTGTTCTCATCTCAGCCTGGTAGCCTGAACTTGACTCCTGAGTTCTGTGATCCCTTCACAACTGCAAGTCATTCTCATATGAAATTTGAGTTTACCTAGTCTGCACCTTTGAGAGTTTCAGAACAATATGCAAATTCCAGTTACCATCATGCTGTTTTGTTGAATATCTCAGGTGACAGGACCAACATTTGGGTTGCTTGCTGGTACCCTGGTTCTTCTACCGTTTGTTTGTTCTGCTGCCATCAATCGCACACACGTATAGTCATGTCAAAGCTACTTTACCCTTTTTATTTGTCTTGTGAATATTGTCATTTGCTCTTTATATGTTAGTGCTGTGTATTGCTCAGTGACAGAAAACTTTCAATAGCTGTAATTTTGTGTAAGTTTGAATAAGAATGGTATCCAAGCAAAAAACCAAGAAGGTAAATGATAGAGAGGCAAGAAGGGTGAAGAGGACAATAAAGGTGTCTAACAAAATGAGAATTCTTGAAATGCTTGATAATGGTGAAACCAAGACCTCTGTAGGGCATTTTTGGGTGCTAATGAATCAATAAAGAAAAATTAGAAAGCTATTAAGGCCAGTGCATGAGGGGCACACCAGAATCACTGAGAAAATCAGACAACTCAAAATGCCAAAATAGAAAAAAAGGAAAGAGATTTGCATTTGTGGCTTCTAAAACAGAAAAGGCTTAATAGAGCTCTTCCTGTGTGTAAAATCTGCTAGCAAGCATCACAAACATGCAAATTTAAATTTTGATCTGGATGGAAAATTATAAAATTCATCATGAGTAGTAGGTGGTGGGATAGGTTTAGGAACCGCCATGGTCTGTATGAAAAGACATGGCTTGCAGAGGAAGCAGATCATGAAGCCACTGCAGAATATTGAAGGAACGGATAGAAAAAAATGGCTATATGCCTGAACAGGTCTACAATGCTGATGAAACAATCTTGTTCTGGAAGCGCATGTCTACTTGCACATCTATTGCAAAGGAGGAGACAAAGACCAGAGGCTTGAAGCCTGGGAAAGATAAGCTCCAAAGTTCTTTGTTCCAATGCTTCTGGTGACTGTCTGACTAAACCCGTGTTGCTTTACAAGTTCTGAAATTCTTGCCCTCTTAAAAGAAAATGCCAGAAACCCTTTTCTGTGTATATGCAGGGAAACCATAAGATATGGATCACTGAGAAATTCTTTTTGGATTGGTTTTTGAAGTGTTTTGTTCCTGAGGTTAAACAATATTTAAACCAAAAACATCTTGAATTCAGATTGTTGCTGATTCTGAACATGGCTCCCACTGATAAAAATGTGATAGTAAATGCTGATCTTTGTGTTAAAGTCATTTCCACTTACCCCAGTACAACTCCATTCCTTCAACCCTTGCACTTGGGAGTATATTTGACTACCTGGCAACTCTTTCAAGAGAGACACCTGAAATTACTGTGAAAGTAGCTTGGCAAAATTTCTCCATATGCAATACTTTAATGATAGTAGAAGAGTCAGTGAGAGAAATAAAACAATCAGCCCTTAATGGAGCCTGGCAGAAATTTCAGAATGAGGTTGTAACTAATTCTGAAAGTTTCCTTGCAGTGCCAGAAGAAACTGAAAATGTTGTAGCATCTGCAAAATGATTGGGTGGTGAAGGATTTGAAGACAGTGAATGAAGTGACATTGCTGAACTATTAGATTCTCACCCTCAGAAGATAGTTGAGAAATATTTCAACTGTCAGAGACGTGATCACATCACAAGTTGATGAAAGAGGTCAGTATAGGTTAACTTCCAGAACTTGAAGAATGTTGAAGCACCCACTCTGCAAATCAAATTGCTGTGATGATTCAGAGAAAAGAGATTCTTTGGTGGAATATTTATTGACTTTCAGGCAAGGCTTAAATTATTACCCAAACCTTATAAAGGCAGGAATAAGAAAACTTCAAACAAAGGCCAGTAAGCATTTTCTCTCTGCTTGGTTCAACAGGGAGAAGAGGCTGGACCATCGGACTGCATTATGCAAACCCATTCTACAAATAGCAGACAGAAAGACCTCACACAGACAGTGGAACCCTGGAATTCAGACTCTGACAGCTTTGATGATGTGATGATCCATGCAGGAGACTGAGCTTACTCATATGCAGATAAAATCCTGTTTTCTCCATTCTTTCCCTGTCACTACTGTGATGATCAGCCTTTTCAGTGATGTTATTCTTCACCTTAAGCTCAGAGAGAAATAGAAATTAGTTGCCCAACAATCACAATTGCTAATGTAAAATTCGTAAATTCCATCAAGGCTCACTTTACTTAGTGTTTTATTCTGATGAACAAACCAATTGTCTGGGCTTTTATAATACTCCCTTCCCTCCCCCAATTTCCCCCCAAAACTTATAAATTCCTCCAACACAAATTCCCCTACAAGGAGGGTTTAAGTAACTCAACTCTAGGACCTAAGGAGGGGGTTATTCAGTTTGATAAGTTTTTGACCCTAAAATTTATTTTAACTCTGTTTAAGCCTAACTTGCTGTCTCAACAGAAAGGATACAAATCCCCTTGTTAATTCATTTGGTATAAGTTCATTTGTTTTGCAGTAGTTGTATAAGGTACTCAAAGGCATGGTGTGTCCTGGAAGGCAGTACGTTTATAGTGGATTCCTGGATTTACTTTGGTACCTAATCAAGGAGGAGAAGCTGCTAGAGTTCATTGCCATCCATCTTCTCTGTTCTCATATCTGGTCTTCCAAGTGATTCAAATGGTTGAATATCCTCTTCCCTAAAGGTGGTAGAAATTCAGTAAGTTTTCCCCTAGCCTGGAAAATCTGAAAGATAGGTCCCCTATATCTGAGTTTGCAGTGATCAGAGAAAGGGGACAAGAATACAAAAGTTAAAAGTCTTGGCTTGTGTAGTTACAGTTGGGATGACAGACATTCCTCAACATGTTCCAAAGAGGCAGATGAGTGTTGAAAACCCATTACTGGGTGATAGGGACCTAGGGGCTCACCATAGTGCCAGGGGAGCTTACACTCTTCTCTAAGTCACGGTGGTTTTCAACACTGGCTGCCCATCAAAATCGTTATGGGGAACTTCAAAAGCAGATTTTTGGGATCTGTCCCTAGACGTGCTAAATCGGGGATTAGGCCAGCAGCTGTTGATTTTGAAAGCTACTCAAGCAGTTTTTTTAATAGAGTCATGGTTGGAAACCACTGCTGTTGAAAACCATAATTATGATAGAAAATATACCACAAATGATAGTGAGCCCAGGGGGTAGGAAACCTCGATTCCAAGTTTCTGCACTGCCACGGGCTCAGTGGATGCTCTTATTCAAATCATCCTACTCTTTCCTTGTCTGTCCAAGGAGAGAACAGGAACACTTGGTCTCTGATGTCCTTCTATCTCTAACATTGTTACCTTGAGAGAAAGGTTCATCAGCCTCATTGGTTGATTTTGAGACTACCTAAGCCCTTTCATAGAGACCAAGGTAAGTAGTAATACTACTGTCTTGTACTCTTGTTGTTTTAAAAATGGTTCTTGCGACTCAGGCTTTCTTATGTTTTACTCCCTCTCAGAAAACAGTTAGTCACAGATGCCATAGAAGAAAGGGAAACCAACTTAACATCAACTCTGAGTTATAGGGTTTGCATTATATATATAATGCATAGACATTATCAATCAAACTAGATATTTTGTTTCATTTCCATAAACCAAAGCAGAGAATTGTTAACTGTTTCAAGGTTCCATGGATAACTGGGGTACTCTTAATCATACCTAGAGGCAAATATTTTTAAGTGAATGATTGTTTTACCAGTATAATCAGCAGTTCCATGTGGTTTTAAAGAATGTAGTTTCTTGATAAGTTTATCATTTATTGAGATTATTGCATTGGCAAGTTTTTGTCTTAATTTGACCAGAATTAGAGAAATAAAACTTTAAGTTGAATAGCATCCATCAGGAAATGTTAATATAAAATAATACAATGGAAAACTGACTAGTATATGATTCTGGTGGTGGTAGGAATGCCTAGACTTTGGCTTGATATATGGAAATATTTGTCTATGGCCTAGACTATTTGAAAATACTGGGGTATATCTAATTCTTGTTTATGGCAATATCCATTTCAAATAATTTAAAAAATATCATTGATGAGGGTAAAAGACCATTTTAATATGGTTCAGTCTAGCAAGTCAGCAGGGCTTCCAAGGTGGCTCAGTGGTAAAAGAATCTGCCTGCCAGTGCAGGAGACCAAGAGATGGGGGTCCCATTCCTGGGTCGGGAAGATCGCCTGGAGAAGGGAATGGCAACCCACTCCAGTATTCTTGCCTGGAGAATCCGATGGACAGAGGACCCTAGTGGGCTACAGTCTATGGGGTCACAAAGAGTCAGACACGACTGAGTGACTGAGCACACACAAGTCTGCAGAACACAGATGTGAAAATTGGTTTAAGCTAAGTGGTAGAAATAGAAGTTAACGGTAATAGCGCCATGTACATGGGTGTTCCTTTTTCCTTTTTTAAGTTAAGACTAGATCCTAAAATTGAAGAACTGAAATTTCTTTTGGTATATTTTATATACAGTTTGAATGGAAAGGATCTTTCTGTTGGCTCAGGTAAATTCTGGTCTTTGATTTTATGAAGTACATGGAAATGTCCTTCTTTACAGACATATTTAACAACTGGCAAAAAGAAAGAAAAGAAAGACAAAGTGGGTAGAGAGAAAAGATAGCTCAGGTTGCTGAAATTTGTCGAAAATATTAGAAAACTGGCATTACATTTAAAAAGAGCATTTTGTTTGCTTAAGATCTTTTAAGATCAAAATGCAAAGAAGGCTCTTTAAACTACACATTTGGATTATATAGCTGCCAGCACCTGAATGCTAATAAAGGGCTTCTACAGCGTGTACAGTCTCAAAGAGTGTGTGGGTCATGTTTGTGCCATGAAATACATTACTCACTGAACTTTACATAGTTTTATTACCTTTTAATGGCCTTTGATGTCAGTGTGTTATGGTTGTTTTCCTGAGAGTTCAGAAATAAATATGTGCTATGCTCTGGGGAACTATAAAATCAAGTAGAAAATAGGCGAGAGGATAAATAGTACATTTCATTAACAAACATGGAGAGTAGTTAAATATGAATCTAGTGTGCTTGAGATGTTGCACTTCATTTTTCTTGCATTACTACATAAAGCCAAAGATATAATCAACCTATCATTGCAAAGACCTAGAGTTGGTTCTTGATTAACTGGCAGTGGTATGATGAGTGGCCTAAGGGCATGAACATGGGACTTAGAGTGAGGGCTTTGCCAATGACTTCTTGTCTGCCCTGAACTGGGGACTCCCTCTCTTTGGGTGAGTGGTACTTAGTCCTGGCAGAATAACCCTTGGCCTGTTGAGGCGTGAGAAATTAACGTGGATCTTAGGCTTGGGAATCAGGTACAGGTATCTGCCTGCTTGCAATCCTGTCCCTGCCAATTAACAGCTATGTAACTGTGACCATGTTTTTAAACCGTTTCAGACTTCAGTTTCTGATCTGTAAAATGGGGTTGAAAATACTTACCTTATAGGATTGCTATGAGGTTGTATGAAATGTTTAACACAGTGCCTGGCATAAAGTAAATGCTCAATAGTTGTTGCTATCACTATTATTTTAATGTGAATAACCATTAAAGAACTAGAATACGATCATTCACTATCTTTGCCAAATTTTATCTGATTTCTTCAAAATAAGTTATACATGATGGTCTCACGAAGAGAGGAGTAAAAATCAATGTTAAATATTTCTGTTTGTTTGCTTGTGAAGGATACCTGACAATAATTCCTTAGTCCCTGTTATACCTTGACCTTAGTGATTTCATATGATATATTTAAAATGTGGTTATTTATTTATATAGCAATTAAGGGAAATGACTTTTCTCACATGGATGTATTCCTATTCTTTAGAAAATAATCCATCCACTTGGTTCCACTTTTAAGATAACTAAGTGACTCTGTTAGTAGGAGCCAAAGATAAAGCTATATGGGACCTTAAGCTATATAGACCTTTGTGTGCTTAAACCACAAAGTATTAGCTCAGCTGCCTTTGAGAGAAATTGATGTCTAAGTGATCTTACTAGATGAGAACAAGACAGTTCCTCATAACTAGCTTCTGAACTTCTTTGTATTGTATTTCATGTATTCTGTGATAGCATTCAAGCAGTTTGAAATAGTTGTATTTAGAATGCTAAGTATTCATCGTAACACAGATGCTATGTCTGCTGAGCAACAGAAATGTAATTCAACTTAATTCAACTATAATGGCCTCATAACTCACATCCCATCCAACCCTTTAAGTGTTTTAACTTGGAGTCTTTGGTGTTCTAGTTATATTTATATATATAATAATAGTCATTGGCATTCAACATCTTGCCACTTGACTAACTTTCCTTGTGCAAACTCTGATTCTGGTACTTTCTTGTTCAAAAATCATCAGTAGCTGCCCATTGTCTATATATTCACCCACTTAACCTTGAAGTCTGGGCCCAATCTCAGTGTACCTTAACCAGTTTTGTCTGCCAGTGTTTCTTTTTTGCAATATAAATGATAGTCCCTCCCTTCCTCAGCCCTGTCTTTAGCCTATAGCTCAATTCTGATCTCTTAAGCTTATCAGTCTCTGGTGAGTAAGACCAGAAATCAGAAACTTATTATTTGAAGCCAGAATGCCTGAGATTAGCCTACCAAGCTATAATCTCCTTCCTGTTCTCCTCCATCACTGCAAACACCTAGAGATTATTTGGCAGTGGTAGAATGACAGGAACACAGGACTTAGAGTGAGGGCTTTGTCACTAGGTCCTTGGCTGCCCTGGGCTGGGGACTGTCTCTCTTTTGGTGGGTGATGCTTAGTCTTGGCAGGATGACCCTAGTCTGTAGTGGTGAGTTTCTTCTTTAAAAAAAAAAATATTTGTGTGTGAGTTTCTTCTTAAGCTTCCAACCTACTAAATTAGGGCATCCTCACTGAACCCTATCCCCCTGAGCTGGGGCCTTGAATACCACCCACTTAATTTTGGCTCTGAATACAAATCTCCTTGTTGAGGGCCCTGAAACAATTAATCGGAGATCTAAACTTCATTCTTAGGTTCTCGCCAGCTTTGTCTCCTGAATAGCATCCCATGCATAAGATCTTTATTTACCACTGGGCTCCAAACTGCTCTATCTACTCTTTTCCATGAGTGCTAGGCTGGAATGTACTTAAGTTTACCACACCCTAGATATGGTATCTAGGGCTGGGCCTGGCAAACTAAGGCCCTTGAGTCAAACCTGGCCCAGCTCATTTATGTGTTTTCTAAGGTGGCACTACAATGGTAGAATTGAGTAGTTGCAACAGAAACCACATGGCCTGCAAAACCTTAAATATTTACTATCTGATCCTTTACAGAAAACTTTTGCTGACCCCTGATCTAAAGCCAGGTGGTTCCCCTGGCCTTGTCTTTGCTTGTTCTTTGATAATTCCTCATTCTTGTGCTGTCAGTTGATAAACCCCCAAAATCCCAGTTCACTGAAGCTATGAAGTATGTTCCAATCCATTGAAACTACTTACTTTTAATTGAATTTGCCTGTTTCCGCTTTGTCATCTTCCTAAAAAGTCCTTTCTCTGTGTTTTACTTTTTAGTGGAAGAGATGCTATATTCATAAAGACTATTAGTCTTATGTCTTTTGATGTTACATCAGGTCCTAGTATGAAAGTCTTTCAACTTTGCCAATATTTTTCAATATGACCTTCCAATAGCTCTAATTAAAAAGGACTAAGGTTAGTCCTTTTAGTTTTTCAGCGTCTCTAGTATCAGGTCTTCTGAGCTATGTGTCTTTTAATATCTCCAGTTGCCAGATCTTCTAGATCTTCTACATGTTACAGTTTCCATGTTTTCTACTCTCTGCCCTGCAGTATCTTCACTGCCAATGTTTTCTAATCTCCTCAATATCAGGGTCTTCTAATATGTCTAAAAATTAATCTTCTAATTCTATGTTTTGCCTTTCAGGGTCCAGAGATCTAAATGCCATTTTTTTCCTATATTCCCAATCCACCAATGCCTCCTAGACAGGTGTTCTAGAGTCCATGTATTTCATTGTGTACAAAAGTCTAGCTCTTCTAATATCTTCCAGCACATAGATAGTTCAGTCCCTGCAATTTATAGTATCTCCTAAATCCTGATTTTACAATGTTTTGTCATCACAAATTCCTCTAATGCCCAAGTCTTTCAATATCTCCAAGAACCTGGTCTTCTAACATTCAGGTGTTCCCAACATCCTCAGTGTTTGAATAGCTCAGTCTCTTAATATCTTGATCTTTTAATGTCTAAGTGTCCTAATGTCCAGGGCTGCCAACATCCTTGACTTAAAGAATCTTGAAAATTATATCTTCCAAATTCTATGTCCTTTAACATAAATATGTCAATATCCAGGTTTCCCAGAGTCTCCTAATATCCAGGTCTTCTGATTTTAAGATTTCTAAATGTCTAGGTCTTCTATTGTCCATATCTTCCAATGTTTAGGGCTTCCAAGGTATAGGACTTGCAGGGTCTCCAGTTTTCAGGGCTTCCAGTATCCATTAACTCCAACACTCAGGGCCTCCAAAGTCTCCAATGCCCAGAATAACAAATGTCCTCAAAATCTAAGACTTCCAACGTCTCCAACATCCTGTGCTTCCAATGTCTCCAATGTCCAGGGTTTCCAGTGGCGCCAGTGTCAAGGTCTTCCAGCGACTCTAGATCTTCCAGCAACTCCAAGTCTTCCAACTAATTCCAAGTCTTCCAGCAACATCAAGGTCTTCCAACCAAACCAGTCTTCCAGAAAATCCATGACTTCCAGTCAATCCATGTCTTCCAGTAAATCTAGTCTTCCAGCAAATATAGGTCTTCCAAAAAATCCACATCTTCCAGGAAAATCCATGTCTTCCAACAATTTCAAGGTCTTCCAGCCAACCCATGTCTTCCAGAAAATCTTTGTCTTCCACCAAATCCAAGTCTTCCAGCTAATTCATGTCTTCCAGAAAAATGCAAGTCTTCCAGTCAATCCATGTCTTCCAGAAAGAAATCCAGGTCTTCCTCTCAGTCCACGTCTTCCAGAAATATCTACGTCTTCCATCAAATCCAGATCTTCCAGAAAAATACAAGTCTTCCAACCAATCCATGTCTTCCATCAAATCCAGTCTTCCAGTCAATCCACGTCTTCCAGACAAAATCTATGTCTTCCACTAAATCCAGGTCTTCCAGCAAAGCCACGTCTTCCAGAAAATTCATGTCTTCCTATAACTTTCGGGTCTTCCAGCAAATCTGCGTCTTCCAAATAATCCAGGTCTTCCGGACAATTCGGGTCTTCCTGAAAATCCATGTCTTCCAGAAAAGCCATGTCTTCCAGGAAATCCATGTCTTCCATCAAATCCATGGCTTCCAGAAAAGCAATGTCTTCCAGCAAATATTTGTCTTCCAACAAAACTGTCTTCCATCAAATGCATGTCTTCCAGCCTATCCATCTCTTCCAGAAAATCCTCGTCTTCCAATGAAGGTGCACCTTCCAGGAAATCCACGTCTTCCAGAAAATCTTCGTCTTCCAATGAAGGTGCGCCTTCCAGGAAATCCACGTCTTCCAGAAAATCCTAGTCTTCCAATGAAGGTGCGCCTTCCAGGAAATCCACGTCTTCCAGAAAATCCTCGTCTTCCAATGAAGGTGCGCCTTCCAGGAAATCCATGTCTTCCAGAAAATCCCTGTCTTCCAATGAAGGTGCGCCTTCCAGGAAATCCACGTCTTCCAGAAAATCCCTGTCTTCCAATGAAGGTGCGCCTTCCAGGAAATCCTTGTCTTCCAACAAAGCCACGTCTTCCAGGAAATCTTTGTCTTCCAACGAAGGTGTGTCTTCCAGAAAATCCTCGTCTTCCTACACCTCCAGGTCTTCCAGCATCTCCAGGGCTTCCAGCATCTGCTCGTCTTCCAGCATCTCTGTGTCTTCCAGCATCTCCACGTCTTCCAACATCTCCACGTCTTCCAACATTTTTACGTCTTCCAGCATCTCTACGTCTTCCAGTATCTCCACGTCTTCCAGTATCTCCACGTCTTCCAGCATCTCCGTGTCTTCCAAACAACTACTCAGTCTTCCAAAAGCAGGCTCAATATCTACGTCTTCCAACGTCTCCGGTGTACCGGTCTTCTAACATTCAGGTCTTCCAGTGTCTACAATATCCAGGTATTTTAACATGCTCCATAGTTCAGGTCTTCCAAACTTTCCCCAGATCGAGATCTTTTCAAAATTAGTATTCCCAAGTCCAAGCCTTTCCATGTTTAGATTTTTCCATAGGCAAGTCTTCCAACTCAAATATTGCTGCTTCTAGTAGAATTAGCTTTAAAAAATTGAATAAGGCATTCCTTCAGCCTAGTAGTGTTTTTTGCTCCTAGGAAATGTGTATTCATTCTTTACAACTTTTAGAGATAGTGTTTATTAAACAGTTTCTGGAGAATAAACACACATAAGATTGCTGTGATAAGTTTTGCAAATTTACTAATGCTCCTATTTTTTATAAAGTCAATTCCATTTGGTACAAGTGAAATTCTTATTTTAATGAGAAAAACTCCTGTTTAGAGACTTTATTATTTTAGATAAAGCTAACAGTGTATTCATCCATTTGTACACCAATTTTTGTGGTTTAATCTTATGTGGCATAAATAATAATAACAGCAACAACATTAACATAGCATTTGCTATGTCCAGGCACTGTTCTAAGGTCGTTACATGCATCAACTCATTTAATCTTCATAAGAACCCATTGAGGTAGATACTATCATCCCTGTTTTACAGATCAGGAAACTGGCATACAGAGGTGAATGACATAACTCTTCAGTAGTGAAAGAAATAGGTCTATGAAAGTATGTATAGACCAATAGAATATACACTGAAGTATGAGTAGAGAAAGTCCCCAAAGGAAACTGAATATATTGTGCTGTATTTACACAATGGAATATTATATAGCAGAGAAATGAGTGGACAACAGAGAAACATATTATATATATAAATATGGGTAGACCAGGGGCTTCCCTAGTAGCTCAGCTGGCATCTGCCTGCAATGCAGGAGACCTGGGTTCGACCCCTGGGTTGGGAAGATCCCTTGGAGGAGAGCATGGCAACCCACTCCAGTATTCTTGCCTGGAGAATCCCCAAGGACAGAGGAGCCTGGCGGGCTACAGTCCATGGGGGCGCAAAGAGTTGGACATGACTGAGTGACTAAGCACAGCACAGCACATCAAGTCCCAGAAGACTACATATAATAGGATATTCTTTTTATATTAATTATTCAAAACAAGTAAAACTGAAGGATATTTTATTTAGGTGTACATATATACTAAGGATTAAAAGTATTTTATGAGAAAGTAAAGGAAAGGCAATAAAAAATTCAGGATAATGGCAATTGGGACTGAGGAAAGGCATTTAGAATAGAAGTAGGGGGAAGTCATTGTCAGTATTCTTGTGCTGCTCAGGTTTGATGGGTGAGTGGGTGGTATTCATTCTATAATTAAAACATATTGACTAATTATTGTATGATTGTTATGAAATTAAAGAACAAATCTGCATGTTCTATGACAGTGTGAATGGATGACTCATAATCCATTTCTGTGCACTTGAATTTTACGATGTTTTCTTAGGCATTTATCTCTGTGTGGTGGGAATACGTGTGCTTTTTGTTCTCTTGTGTCTCTTTATTCTCTGAATTTTTATAGGGAAAATACAGTATTATCTTAATTGAAAGACAAGCCTAAAATTACGATCTCAAATATGTTAAAAATGCATAATAAGGACTGAAAAGAAAAGTGGCCACAATTTAATGCTTCTGTGTGGTGAGAATTCATATCATTTTTTTCTCTGTTTCCTTATAGTTTTTTAAAAAGTCCAAATGTTATAAAGTGAGCTTATGTTATTTTTCCTGTTAGAAAAATAATACATGCTTATCATAAAAGTAAAATTACAATGGTATATAAAGTAACAGGTGAAAATATCCCTCTCCTAGTCCCACAGCCCAGAGATAGCCATGATAGTTTGTTTGCTTTGTATCTCCAAGTTCTTTTTCTGTTTATGTGTTCTTGTGTGTTTTATAAAGCAAAATTATCCTATGCTTGTTATTCTACAACTTGATCAACCCGCACCTCCCAGCCCTGGGATCAATAGAAAGTCATTGTAACAGCCAGTAGAGTTCTATAATAGGTGAACTACATAATTTATTCAATTTTTTCCACATGATAGGTCTTCAGGTTGTCAACAGTTTTTTTTTAAACTGTTACAAGTAATATTATAAAAACATTTCTAAAATCTATCTTTTGCACATTTAGAAATATTTTTGTAGACTAATACCTTAGAAATATAACTGCTAGAAAGGGTTTGAGCTAAACTGCCCTCCCGGCATGCCAGACACTATTATTCTTTTTTTTTTTTTTTAATCTAATCAAATTCTATTTATTCACATAGCTAAAGACATTCTTACCTTCCATTAAATGGTATTATTACAATATTCTCATAAATCTTCTGCTAATGCCCCACAAATGGATTTTATTTTATTTTTTTCATTTATTTTTATTAGTTGAATTTTGGATGAAAAACTGATTCTCATTCCTTTCTTTTCCCCTAATCACCAATTAAGTTAAGCATCTTTTAATATATTTATTAACTATTTATATTTCTTCTGTTAGAGATTGCTTGTTCATATCCTTTGCCAATTTTTCTGTTGAACCATTTGTGCTTTTTTTTTTTTTTTCTTCTTGATTTGTAGGAGGTCTCTGGATATTAGAGCTGATATCCTTTTGTCTGCTATATATTGCCAATGTCTTTTTAAAAGTTTATTTATGATGGTATTTGGCATAAATTTTAATATGTAAAAGTGAAACATTTTAATCTTTCTTTTATAGCTTCTTGGTTTTGTCTTATATTTAGGTAGGCTTCTGTAACCCAAGATTATAAAAATACTCTCCTGGGACTTCCCTGGCAGTTCAGTGGGTAAGACTCAGTGCTCCCAATGCAGGGTGCACAGGTTCGATCCCTGGTTGGGGAACTAAGATCTCACATGCCTCATGGCAAGACCAAATAATAATCTCCTATTTTTTCTAATATTGTTTTCTAATATTTGATATATTACTGCTTAGTGTCTTAATCCATATGTGGTGTGTATGGTGAAAAGTAGGGACCTATGTTTACTTTTTTAGAAAAGAGCTAGTTTTCCTAATCTATTTATTGTATTGAATTATATCTGCACTGATTTGGAATTCTCTCTGTGGGTATGTTGTTTATGTTTCTTTTCTGTTCAATTTTTGTCTATTACTGAGCTAGTGTCTCACTGCTTTAATTATTGTAGCATTATGTTTTGAAATCTGCTCCCCATTCATTATTCTTTTATTTTTAGCATTTACTTGGCTATTTTTGTACATATTCTTTTTCCAGATGTATTTTACAATCAACTCATCAACTTCTATGAAACAAACAAAAAAATTCCTCAAAGTGCCTTGGAATTTTTGAGCAATGTGTCAAGAATGGACATCTTTACAATATAGAGCTTTGCATTTGTCTTGTATCCAGGCATGATATTAAACTCTGTTCTTAGTTCTGTGGGAGTTTATTCCAGTTAGTGATCTTGAATCCCAAGATACACAATCATGTCAGCTGTAAATAATGAAATGTTTGTCTTTTCCTTGCTGATGTTTATATCTAACATTTTTCCTTTTTAGCACATTGGTAAAGATCTTATGACTTCCAGGACAATGCAGATTTATATGACTTAATAAAGAATAGGTATCCTTCTCTTATTTTGGGCCTTAATAGAAATAACTCATTGTTTCACTCTAAAATATGATGATTGCCATTGTTTCTGATAGATACCCTTTTTCAAGTTATGGAAATGCCCTTCTTTTCATTATTCCAGCTTGACTTATAGTTTTGTCAGGAATGTATATAGAATGTTATCAAAGGCCTTTTCTGGTATCTGTGAAGGTGATAATATGATTATTGTCTTTAATCCATTAATGTATTAGTTACACTAAGACTTACTAATGTTGATCTATTCTTGCATTCTTGGAATAAAATTGACTTGGTAGTGATGCTTTGACTATGTTGATATTTCATTTAGAATATAAATCTCTGTTTTAACAAGTCCATGGAGTAGTGCCTCCTTAACATTTTTAAATCATGGCAATTAAAGCAAATGTGTATTTTCTTTTTGTTTGGTAATAATGTATCATACGTCTACATATTAAATCAAACTTGTTCATTGTTATTCAGTTTTTCCCTTTTTAACTGCTTGATCTATATTTTCAGATTAAAGTATGGGGTATATTTTTAACCTTTTTTGCTTTACATATTTGAACTTTTTTTCCATGTGTTAAATTTCATGATTTTCTTATTGCATTGTGTTAATTTACAACATAAAGAAACCTTCTTTAACCCATTTAATGCTTCTTGCTTTGACATTTCTTTGCTACCCCTACTTGGTTTTTGTTAGCATTTGTCTGGTGTATCTTTCTCCACTCCAATATTTTCAACTTTTTTGTGTTTTGTTTTGAGTTTATCTTTCCAAAACAGCATGTGATGTGATTTTTTTTTACTTCATCTGAGAATGTCTGCCTTTTACTTCATAATTAAACCTTTCACATAGATTACAATTCTGTCAAATTAGTAATAATTCTGTCATTTAAAAATTTTTAGTTTTTTTCTTGCTAGATTTGTCAAGGTGCATTTCCTCTTTTTTTTAATATAGTGGTTTAGAAGTTTGAAATATCATTTCTAAGAGTGGTTGCACTAATATTTAAATGCATATTTTATTTTATATATTTTTGCATTGTGAAAAATTACGTTTAAAGTGAGCATTTAATACTTTTGTAATAAAAGAAGCATTTAAATGCATCCGGTATTTGTTCATTCCTTACCAGTCTGATTCTCCTTGCTCAGGGAAGATCATAGTGGGTCTTTTTTTTTTCTTTTTTTTTTTTTCATAGTGGGTCTTATCTATCCTGGAAGAACATACCAAAATTTGTGTCTCTATTCTGAACCAAGCTCAGCATCAAAAAGGTTCTATCCTCATTAGCAACGTGAAAAAGGAGGATGAGCTCAGGTGTTCATGCTGTGTCTGCCCTCAAGTTCCTAGTAGGTGAGAAAGCCCACAGATTCAATTTATAATA